GGGGGGGCTCGGATCCTTGTCACCTTTTTCATACCTGATGAGTTTGGATCCCTGCTGTCTGTCTGTCTGTCTGTCTGTCTGTCTGTCATTTGTCTCTTCATCTGTTAATTTCCCTTTTCTTTATTTCTTTCTCTCTTTAGGTGAAGTTAAATCTGTCTTCAAAGAGAAGACAGAGACGGAGATCAAGGGCTACATACGCCAGAAACTCTCCAATTCGGCGAAGATCCTCAAAAGGAAAACATTTTTTAAAAAATCAATTTGTTCGGCCACGTTAGGCCATTATGTTTTTTCATGCAATATTGTATGTTCGGTAGTATAAATTAAAAATGTTAATACATGTTAATACATGTTGAGTCCATGTATTATTTGTATTTGCCTCAGTCCATTATTTTGTATTTGATATAGCCTACCATTGTACATTCTACAGTATCTACAGTTTAGTACAGGTATGACACAAATACAAGAAAATATGTATTTACCATGGTAATTGTTATGGTGCCAGGGGTAGTGGGTTATCAAGCCCTCCAACAGCCATATGAAATGTTACCATAGTACCCCCTGGCACCATAACAATTACCATGGTAAATACATATTTTCTTGTATTTNCTAGAAATGGGAGGTTTGATATGGGCCTGTAATTGTTCATTACTGAAGCATCTAGATTATGCTTTTTTAAGAGCGGTTTAATGACTGCAAGGTAATCATTTTGTGGCAGATCAAGTCCATGAGGAGCTGCTGACTAATGTATTGTAAAGTATAATTCAGCCCTCAGTATTTATTGATCCGAAAACAGATCAGGATTGGATTATTTTAAGCATTAAATAAACTAATGTTCGTAAATCTATATTATTCCTCAGTTCCTGCACTGAAAGGGTTTATGGGATGTGTCCGGCTCACAGCTGTTATTGACCTGCATCACAGCACATCCCACAGTGTTTTGTTGTTGGCATCTCAGCCGTCCCTGCTTAATGGATACGTACTAGACCATTTTTAGGGTTACATTTTGTGATAAATGAGTGACTCAGATCATATAAGTCATGTTACCAAGGGACATATGGAACACAAGATATAAAACGAGGCTCTGTTTGAAATGTGAATTATTTCACTTTTATGAATTGTGCTTCTACACAGTTTCTGTGCAGCTCTGTTGAATAGGGTGCATATTTGGTGATGGTGTTGTGGTTTTCAACAATATGAAAGTTGCTGTTAATACTAAATGAGGCCGTCAGTCTTCCTGATGCACAACCCGCACAATAGCTCCCACTGCTCACATCACAATGACGGTTTTTATCTTTTACAATTCATTTCCTCTGGGAGTGTACATTGTTATTGCATCATGAATAAGGTACAATATGAATGAACAAAAGCCCAACACTCGAAGGGTGAAGGGTCACGTTGTTCCCAGTCAATGCTGTTTAAACCTAAATTCACACTATTATTTTTGCATAAGGGCCTACCACCAGGTCTTAGACACTCCTCTGTTTTTCTACCAATTTGCCTGCAGGACAAACTACCTAGCCATTCCCTCTGAGCAGAAAGACAACCCAGACGCTCCTGTTACCAAATAAAAGCAGTTGTCAATAACACGGTATTTTACATGTGGCTCTCTCAACCTGATCCCGATCAGTGAAACATCCCCCTCTCTTTCAACCCATTGTTTGTGCCTTTAGTCCTCATAAGTGTGCCGATCTGTAGTGGAGTCCTGTTGCTTTAACACCCCCTCTTGCTTGTTCCATTCAAAATGGCTTTCATTTTTGCCATTTTTAGAAATGTCACCTGATCACAAGCCCTCCATTCACATTCAATCTCCATTCAATGTACAGTGTTTCATTTAACAATTCTATATGAGCATGACCATTTCAAATGCAGGCAATTCAAACACAGTCCCCTCGGGCACTGACCTGCATAGCGAAGATAGTCAATTATAGCATCTAAAGTGTATGGCATTTGCATGTTTATGAAATAGAACTGCTGAATTACAATAATCCGGATGGACCTAGTTGTTGATTTGAATTTGATTATGGCGAGTTTGCATACTGTTTATTATTTCAGACAGGACAGGTTATTTAGCATATAAATCATTCTATGTTGAATAAGATTGAACCCGAATCTCTGCTCTTTTCCAGGTATTAATCATGATGGGCTTCGGTGTCATGTGACTGAAAATATATACCACAACCTCATCTTTGCCACTATGAAAGTACGACTTTCTCAGACAGGAATCCTGCCAGCCGACCGCCCCTGTGTATCGACTGTGTTATGCTAAGAGTGAATAATGTCCAAGTGCTTCATTTTTCTCCTTCTGTTCCACTTTCTTTTGGTTTACCTTCGGTCCAGGTTTCTGAAAATAAGTTCTTTCACAAAAACAGAAGGTTAAGGAACAAAAATGTAAGTGTCCTGCACTTATCATCAAATAAATATCAGCCAGTGTGTAGAATTAGGGAATATTTTCTTAGTAGTTAGTGGCGCCTCCGTGATTTCTCATGTTTTTTTAAGGAAAATGGTTTGCATAGCTTTTATACTGTATGGCTGTGCATCTTCCCTGTTTTGCTGTGTGTGTAATGGAAAAAATGAAAAATGAAAGACGTTGAATTGACTCTTATTTCAGTTCATTTGAATTAATCAGGAGATCTTTCCTGTAGTTTTCTTCCTCTGAATAAATCTTGTATGCATGTTCAGCACAAGTTATTGCAAGCAATTTCTCTAAAAGCTTTGACTGTTGCTGGTGGTCTACAAATCATTGCTATTGAGACTGAATGTGTGCCTACTTTTATAGTACAACAACACTGAAGAAGTGTTTTAAAATGCTTGATTCAATCATACCACGCTGTTCTTTGTCCGTTACAGATATGTGTGTATGAGCTGCTATTGAACGATTAAATTCAATGCATTTCACATCCTGTGTTCAATCTCTTATGTTTATTGACAAGTCTGTACTTCTGTTTATGTGCCGATGCCTTTTGAAATTGTAGAACTGGATGAGTAAATTTTGATGTTGAGAAGAAAGTGCAGTATTGACTTTACTGTAATACATGCTCTGTATTGTTTGTGACTGCGGCGGTATACTGTTGAAAGGAAAGCGTGGGCTTTAATTAACCACAGTATGGATCACTGTTGTTTAGCTCTCATTAGCAGCACAGCTAACGAAAAAATAGTTTGATTAGTTTGTATTGAAAGTAAATGTCAGTATTACTGATCTGAGATCAAGTATTGTATAGCTGATAGTTATATTCAGTGTGAGCAGAGCAGGTCCTGATAAGCAAAGCCAGAAAGACTGTATACGACAAACAAAGATGACAAAAGTGAAATCAAGAAGAGATAAAGGGGGAAAAGACTGGCAGTTATCGGGAGATGTGATGTATGTTGCTGTTCCAACTAGCCGAGACCCACAGCAGTGACAGATATAGCAGCAGCTGTTGTTATAGCAACCCAGGCTTGCCTGTTGTGATAGTTCAGACACATTCATTTATTCACAGCCATAAAACAATGTACAGCTTTATTTCTTACTATGGACAAAACATAAAGTAGCCACCAGTCCCCCAGCTAGCTTTACTACACCAGGCTGGATATCATAGAAATGCCTCCACAAACCCACTGACGAATGGTATTTTGTCTGACTAGCAAATAAGTAATGTAACAAGTGCAACCTTTATCCATCCATCAACTTCACATAGATTGGTTATTGATTGTGAGACACATCCCATAAACTCTCCAACAATATGGCATTATTGATCTGAAATGCATTGTGAAGAGCCATTCCGTAACCCTCCCCCTCCTCTCGCTCTCTTTCCTTCCTCTCTCCCTCTATTGTTACAATGTGCCTCCCAGAGGATACAACCCAGTAAAATGGCCCACATTCTACTAATGTAGGTTTCAATTAAGCCACCAGGCCCAACTGCCTCTGTGGTCTGGTAAGCCTTTTAAGTATCACCCCTCAAAAGGCTTGGATTAGAGATGACTGCAAACACTCTTTATTTAATGCTTATTTGTCATGCTCATAATTGGCTTATCACATTTAGTGTCACCAATGACAGAAGGGGATTTAGAAGCTCTCAGGGGTGTAACGGTTCACAGCATTCACGGTTCGGTATGTACCTCGGTTTGGGGGTCACGGTTCGGTACGGGTTCGGTACAACAAGAAAAAGCAAAAAAATGTCCCAAATGCATAATTCCAGGTTTGTTTTTTATTTATTTTGAATAGTAGTGCAAGTTTCAGTTTAAAAAATAAGGAACTAATATTTTGAATAATTAACTTTATTACACAGTTAAAAACAAACCACAAACAGTTCCACACACACTCAGATGGCCATATTATATATAATGGCTGATGTCAAACAAAAAGGTTCAAGAGTTGCAGCCATTTTTCATTCTGCTATCATAAAACATGACACTAAATCATCACTCATGTCATCTTCAATTCACAGCGCTTGTCCATCTATGAAGGGTCTTTGTCTCCCCCTAGTGTAAAGCATTTCCTGTCATCAAACGTTGACATGAAATCAAAGACAACCATAAATGTCAAGCCCCTGGTCAAGCAAGTCACTCAAACCCAAAATAAAAACATGCTGTCGTACATTTATTCGATGAGGAGAGCAATTTCTGACTTGCAACAAACTGATAATGCTATTAATTTACAAAAGAGACTGATATTTACGTTATTGATTTATGGACGCCATCTGTTGGATCGGTTGGTTGATCAGTGACGCTTGGCTGTGTCCAAAGCAGTGATAATGCAATATGCAGTTTGCTGCCAGACAAGGCAGTCACCTAGAAACACAGGTCATCGATTTGTGTTGATCAAAAGTCACTATATGCTAGAGCTGAGTTCTATCTGTGTGAAAATTAAAGAGTTATGATGGATGGGGACATATCGATGAAATACAATAATTGAGTAATTATTATGCTTTGGTTTTGCAGCTATGATACAATAGTATGTAACCTGTTAACCATTAAGCCTTTTCTTCCCCTACTACCCTCCTCTCCTCTCCACTTCCCTCCTCCCCTCTCCCAGGTCCACTGTGGCAAGACTCTCTGAAGGATTATTCAAAGCATTGTACTAGACCACGCTGAAGATGAGAAGGTGTTTCCAGAGTTATTCCCCTGTCTGCACATTTCCATTTCCTTTGGTGGCTGAGGACGAATGCAGAAATTTCAAACAGAGGAACCGAAATTGAATTATTTCTTCCAAGGCAGCTTTTCTGAGATAACCATTTAGCCACTCATAATTCTCTAATATGTCTCCCACCATTTTGTACTGAATAGTTCTGGACCTTGTCAGGGCTGTTGACTTAGACCTAAAAAGGCACAAGTGTTTATCCAAGAAAAGTCTACAAATATTTTCGCTGAACAAAAGAAATCCACAATAAGTAAACATTTAATTGGAAAACAGCTAGCTAATTGAAGTTAGTAAACTTCAATTAAAACGCTAGGCCCATCTGCCTCTGGAGTCTGCCATTTTAAGTTACATCACACCAACTTGGATTAGCCATGGCAGTAAACAGGCTTATTTTGTATGTTCATAATTGGCTTATCACATTTAGTGTCACCACTAGCTATCTGTTTTCGCCTGTCTTTATTCCAAGACAAGTTAATTGCCAGCATTCTTATGCCTTGAAAAGCTTTAGAGAGGAACCCCTTCTTTGTAGAGAATACAAATAGACAATGGAAATGAGGCTATACACACATTGAAATGTATTCGCTGCATTAAACTCTATGAGCAGCAGAAAGTGTATTTCTCAAAATGTTAAAGAAATCCTTGAATATATAACTAAATTGCCCAACAACTTCTGTAAGGTCACGAAGGGACACGACTCTAGCTTAAGACTGCTCTCTAATAATCAAAACGTAAATCATCTGATAACGTTTTTATTCCCAGCCCAGTTCGACTGAGGCCAGGCTGTGTTTTTAATTGGCAACAGCACACTATTAATAAGTCAATATTTGATTAGAGATTTACCTTTCCCCTCTGACTCATATATTCTTCAAAGTTAATGCTTATTATGGAACTAGAAATCTGCTGCCACTACACATCCCTCAAGTGCTTGTAGTGTCTTTGTCAGCTGTTAAATTGCATCCGAAACAACTTTAAGGAACCTCTAGAGAACATTTCCATTAAAATATAGTCTGGCAGGGCACAATGCACAGTCCCTTTGAATTATTCCTGAGTGTCTTCGTAATTATATCAACCTTCGTGTTACAGAGCTGTTATCATCCCCCTGTGGTGTCATTGGCATAAAGAAGAGCAAAGACGTACTGTAGGTGTGTTTGATAAATTCAAAACATCCCCTGACTACTAAATGAGAATATGTTATCTGGAATATTAATTTACTGTCATGCCATCCATCAAAGCTCCTTTTTAACAGAATTGGTCTATTGGGTATTTCGCTTTCTTCACCTTCTGTCTCCAGCAGCACCTTTTTATTCTGGACATGTCTCACTTAAATAAGCTTCCTATTACACACAGATGAGGGATATTTGTTGTGCAATTTCCTCAAACCTGCCATGACCTTTTTATTCTGGTTATTCTTTACCTCAAATAGACAGAAAGGTTGCTTGTTTATTTGATTTGAATCCTATGCAAACTTAGATTCAGCAACAGATGCAGCGAACCCGCATCATGAATATAGAATCAAAAATAATATACAATTGAACATATGGATAGTATTTCGGCTCTCCCGCTGTGCATACAGTATGGGATGTTTCCTTCATCTGTTGTGCATGTTTACAAACAAATGACTGAACTCAAGCCTCTTTCTTTGTCTTTATTTTTACCACTTATGTCTGACACTCAGATGGAAACAAAAGAAAGAAAACATATCCAAACGCCCAGCTGTTTATACGCCTAATCAAAACTGAATTCATGAATTAAACAGGACCCCTTTCACAGTATACCTTCACCTTTCCTCTCTCCCATCCATTTCTCCCATCCATCATCCCATCCTCCATTTCATTCACCCGCATTTCAAACAAAGGAGGCATCTTTGATTAGCGAGACAAAGAGGGTGCCTTAAATAAAAACACCATTTACAAGTCAGACTCGGAAGCGAGGCAGTAACTGGGCCCTGTTTTCTAATTTGTGATGAGAGGATTGAGCTGGCCCGTCGCACAATGACGTCGCAGCTCTATTGTTAGTGAAATGAACACCTGGCTGCCGGAGAAGTGTTAAATCATGGCTGTGTGTTCAGCAACACCTGAGGCGCTCGACATAAAATTACACAAAGCAGAACATTACAACGCAGGCTGGCTTGTTTCAAAGGCAACTGTGCCTGAGATATTAATATAATCAATAAATAACTAGTCAATCAATTTGAGCATAACATTAACTGTGTTATGGATTAGAACATAACATTTACTGCTTGTTACTATATTACTTTTCTCCAGGGAAAAGGAGCACTGAAAATGTGACATCAAACATTGTCTAACAAAAACGTTTTAATTGTGCTGTGTGCTCTAACATTTGGAATAGGAGAATGAAAGTCTTTAAAACATTGCCAGGCCTCTTAGCTTGATGTTTAATACGTTTGTGCTGTAGCCAAGCAGCAGTTGGCTGTTGTGCTTCTTGACACCATTATTGAGAGACAGCCCCACTATGCCTTGTTTCCTCCAGAAACAGGATTTTAAATGCACTCTCTTCCCCCAAGTACGCTCACATGCATGTCTTAGTCTTGGGTAATCACTACGAATCCTAACTCATCAGTATTCCTGGAGAAAACCCATTAATTAAACTCTTCAATTCCCCCTCACAGCATCAGTTGCAGGTTGTGCAAGACACTGTATTGATGAGCAAATAACAGTTGCTAATTTTTGCTGCTTCCTTATGTAAGGTGGGAGACCCTTATTTCAACATGAATCTCAGGTCTAGGAAGATACTTAAAGCCCCTTTCCACAAATCCTCTGGGATCAATTAACACTGG